CGGGGGGTCCCCGGCACCTCCAGGGTCCCTCCATCCCGCCCTGGGCTCCCCATCCCACCCAGAGTCCCCCCGTGCTGTCCAGGGTCCCTCCATCCCACCCTGGGCTCCCCATTCCCATCTGCCCATCTGGGTCCCTCCATCCCATCCAGGGTCCCCCCACCCATCTGGGTCCCCCCATCCCGTCCAGGGGCATGTCCAGGGATCCCATCTGGGTCCCTCCATCCCATCCAGGGTCCCCCCACCCATCTGGGTCCCCCCATCCCGTCCAGGGGCTCCCCAGCATGTCCAGGGGCTCCCTGGCGCCTCCAGGGTCCCTCCATCCCACCCATCCCATCTGGGTCCCTCCATCCCATCCAGGGTCTCCTCACCCATCTGGGTCCCCCCATCTCGTCCAGGGGCTCCCCATCCCATCCAGGGTCCCCCCATCCCATCTGTGTTCCCCCCATCCCATCCAGGGTCCTCCATCCCGTTTGGGTCCCTCCATCCCGTCCAGGGGCTCCCCAGCATGTCCAGGGGCTCCGTGGCACATCCAGGGTCCCTCCATCCCACCCACAGTCTCCCCATCCCATCCAGGGTCCCCCCATCCCATCTGAGTCCCCCCATCCCATCCGGGGTCCCCCATCCCATGTGGGGTCCCCCATCCTGTCCAGGGTCCCCTCATCCCATCCAGGGTTCCTCTAACCCATCCAGGGTGCCCCATCTGAGGTTCCCCCATCCCATCCAGGGTGTCACCTCCCACACGGGTGTCCCCATCCTGTCCAGGGTCCCTCCATCCCACCCAGGACGCCCCATCCCATCTGGGTACCCCCATCCTGCTTAAGTCGTCCCTACCCTGCCCCATCCTCTTCAGGTGCCCCTATCCTACCTGGGTGCCGCCCTCCCACCCAAGGTGCCCCCATCCCACCAGGGTGCCCCCGTCACCCACACCAGCTCAGAGAGGGCTCCCCATCCCACCCCACGCCGGGAGCAGGGTGCCAGGGTGCCACCATGGTGCCCGTCTAGCTCCAAGCCAGCCTGGAGGACAGACCCCACGGGAAAACCCTTTTTCCACCCTTTTTCTTGCAGGGTGGGCTCGTCCCCCCGTGACGGGGACACACGGGTGGGATGGGTGCTCACCCCACTGCCCATCACACCAAGATGGCACCAAACGGGGCTTCATCCACCATCTCCAAGCAATTGGCTTCATCCCATCCCATCGCCCTCAGCCTGACCGTGAACCCCCATCCCTGGCCGCGCTTGCCACCTCCCCGTTTCACCGGACACCGAGGAGAGCCCCCGAATCCCCGGTCCCTGGGGCCACAAGCCTCTCCCCACCCCTCCCCGCCGGGCCAGCAGCCCCTCGCTCCGCTCCACAAAGGTTCTTCAGTTGCTTTGCCTGAAATACTTCATGAAAAGGCTTTTGTAACATCTAAATAACTGGTGACCCCGGTCCCCCCTGCCCAAGTTTCTCAAGGAGCAGCGAGAGGCAGCTGCAGGGCATCGTGCTGGCCGGCCCTCCCCAGCTCCCAGTCCTCCAGATGTTTTATTGCCCTGCTTTTAATTAGCGCTGCCATCCATGTGCTGACCAGGGCGTTCACATCTGCCCCTTCCCGGGCGGCTCCTTGCTCTGCGTTTAGGGGCAGATGTGGGGGGGAGAGCCCTCCCGTGTGGGCTCCGGACGTGGCCGGGGGGCCGCGCCAGCCCCGGCCTGCTAAAAAATATAAATAACCACCCAAAGCGTTATTTTTCCCGACATTCTCCCGGCCAGGAGATAAATAACGCGTGGCAGGAGTGCACGAAGGAGCGGGGCGGTGGCTGGTTCCTGGCGCGGGGCGCGGGGAGGGTGCCTGTCCCACACCGCCTAGCGCTCCCCAGCCACCCCCCGCGTCTGCAGGACCCCAGGTGAAAACACGGGAGCTGGCAGCGCCGCGGTTTTGGGGTCTTTCCCAACATTTTTTGCACATCCTACAAGCCCAGGAGAGCCTCTGCGATGGGTCTGGAGGTGCCACCAGAAGGCAACTGGTGCTCTGGAGGCAAAACCTCATCGTAACTCATTTCCCAAGATGTTCCCAAGACCCCCCCGCCCCGTTAAGCGATAATTAAGAGCATCCTGGCTGGGCAGGGGGGAGGGGAGGTGCACGAGACCGAGGAGATGACGGCAGGGTCGAGCCCTTCAAAACCATCTCACGCGACGTCTTGCTGCTGCGCAGCCCAAACCAAAAAGCAATTACGGGCGTTGCCGCGTGCCGCTGGGTCGGATCCCGTCACCCGGCCTTTGCCCCAGCACGTCCTGGTGTTAAAAGCCGCTGGGGTCCCGGCAGCGGCGCCCCGAAGGTGCCGCGAGGCTGGGGATGGAGAAGGGAGCGGAGGTTGGGGGACCCGGGGACGGTCCCTTGGCAAAACGAGTCTCTGGAGCAGGGCCGCTGCCGCCAATGGCGTGGTTGGAAATGGCTCCAGCGGCGCGGTGCTGCGGCTGCGGTAGGGTGGGACCGTCGGACGCCCCAGGACCTTCAGCCACCACGGGAGCCTTGGCTGCCCTGGGACCCTCAGGCACCCCAGGACCCTCAGCAGTCCCAGGACCTACAGCCACCCCGGGACCCTCGGCCACCCTGGGACCCTTGACCACCCTGGGACCCTCGACCACCCCAGGACCCTCGGCTGTGGTGTCCCAGCACCATGGTACCCTTGGCCACCCCAGGACCCTCAGCAGTCCCAGGAGCTACAGCCACCCTGGGACCCTCAACCACCCTGGGACCCTCGACCACCCCAGGACCCTCGACCACTCCAGGACCCTCAGCCACCCCAGGACCCTTGGCCACCCCGGGACCCTCGACCACCCCATCCACCATCTCCCACCCCTTTTCCCTTGGTGTCTGGGGACACGGGGGGACACCCGTCCCCCTCCACCGCCTCCCCAACCGAAGCCTGAAGCCCGGAGGAGAGAAATCCCAGCACAACACCGTCACCGGGGACAAGCGGGGGTGCCGGGGGCTCACCCTCCCGGGGAGGCCGGGGCAGCAGGAGCTCAGCCCCCGGTTATTTCGCCGGTGGGCGACGGTGACGGCTCACGGGTGGGTTTCCCCCCCATTGCCCCCCTGGGGATGAAACGCTGCCGGAGTTTTTGGGGAGCCCCTCCTGCCTCTGCCTCCCCCCGCTTGTCCCACTTTAGGGTGACCCCGAATGCGGAGGAAGCAAAAACAAAGGCAATTTGGGTTTGGTGCTTGCGTTCCTGCCTGAACCCCCCCTTTCCTTTCCCAGTTTTTGGGGTGACTCATTGGGGGGCAGAGGAGAGGGACCCCCCATGCCCAGCATGGGAAAATCTTTGCCCTGTGAAAATACCCCCCTTGCTGGAGCCCCGTTTCCCAAAAAAAGCAGGATTTTGATGATTTGGGGTGAAACCGAGGTGCATTTGCACCGCCGACAGCTGCGGGCTGAATGCGGCTGCAGCGCTGGGAGCCCCCAGGCCCCTCCTGCTCCTCAGCCTGGGACACGGGGGAAATCCCCGGAGCCCCCGATTCTCCTGGCCTGGGAT